AAACCTGTTCCCCCGCTCATGAATGGGACGGGACGGGACGCAACGGACATGGGCATGGTCTTAATGTGGGAGATAGAAAACCTTGGTGAATGGCAAGTGTCAAGTGCGCTATCCGCTGCACCACCCGACCACCCCTTTTTATGAAATTACAATGGAGATGAAATAAACAAGTACATGTATAATCAACGACAGTGTTCCGAGTGTTTATATATTCTGTGGGCCAGACCATGGTTTGAACCCAGGACTTCAGGATAGTGATCCCATCGCTGAAACCAATTGAGATACCGGGACTATGGAAGTGTAAGAGCCCAAATATGCTAGTTATATCCAAACTGAAGTTAGGGCCAGGTTACCGTGTATATATATAGAAAAAACAGCAGTGCAGTGGGGCATTGATCCTTCAAGTGTTCATAGAAATCACCGACACATTTCAAGTCATCGAAAAACCATTTGCAGTTGCAATAATTTGATGCAGTGTATCAGGTCTAGATTGAGTTAACTATTTTTATCAGCTGAGTATATATGATACATCTGTATCGTACTTTGATATAGCCAGATCATGTTTAAATTCAACAACCTGTAGTTTTAAAAAGCAGGAGACAAAACTTATCTCTGCTGCTATGAATTCAAGCGTAGATTCTTTTTCGGCATTCCTGTGCCAGCGATTCAGGTTTTTTATGATGATCAGATCGGAGATCACAGCAGTGCCTCTAGCACTACCAGCTGATGTATACAGGATGGGCAGATCACAGTAATATATAGGTACTTATCTGATTAAAACTGACACAGAGGGAGCTGTATCACACATACACTGTCACCCCTATACGTGGTACAGTTTGACTCTTCATTCAATCAAAAAACATAACATAAATAAATGGTCATCTGTTGAATTATCTGCACATTTTTAATGACTAAATCTCTCTGCTAATAAAAATTTTAAAACTAAATTTTACTGTTCATTATTAAATATTAATAGGTCAGCTATACCTGTGTATGATTACCAATATAAAAAGGTAAGCTATACCTATGTATGATAACCCATATAAAACAGGTAAGCTGTACCTGTGTATAATGACCTATATTAAACAGGTAAGCTTTACCCGTGTATAATGACCTATATTAAACAGATAAACTGTACCTGTGTATAATGACCTCTATAAAACAGGTAAGCTGTACCTGTGTATAGTGACATATATTAAACAGGTAAGCTGTACCTGTGTATAATGACCTATATTAAACAGGTAAGCTGTACTTGTGTATAATGACCTACATAAACAGGTAAGCTGTACCTGTGTTTAATGACCTATATAAAACAGGTAAGCTGTACCTGTGTATAGTGACCTATATAAAACAGGTAAGCTGTACCTGTGTATAATGACCTCTATAAAACAGGTAAGCTGTACATGTCTATAATGACCTCTATAAAACAGGTAAACTGTACATGTGTATATAGTGACCTATATAAAACAGGTAAGCTGTACCTGTGTATAGTGACCTATATAAAACAGGTAAGCTGTACCTGTGTATAATGACCTCTATAAAACAGGTAAGCTGTACATGTCTATAATGACCTCTATAAAACAGGTAAACTGTACATGTGTATATAGTGACCTAAATAAAACAGGTAAGCTGTACCTGTGTATAGTGACCTATATAAAACAGGTAAGCTGTACCTGTGTATAATGACCTATATCAAACAGGTAAGCTGTACCGTTGTGTAATGACCTATATAAAACAGGTAAGCTGTACCTGTGTATAATGACATATATAAAACAGGTAAGCTATACCTGTGTAAGTGACCTATATAAAACAGGTTAGCTATACATGTGTACAATGACCTACATAAACAGGTCAGCTGTACCTGTGTATAATGACCTATATAAAAAGGTAAGCTGTACCTGTTTATAATGACCCATATAAAACAGGTAAGCTGTACTTGTGTATAATGATCTATATTAAACAGGTAAGCTATACCTGTGTATAATGACCTATATAAAACAGGTAAGCTGTACCTGTGAATAATGTCATATATTAAACAGGTAAGCTATACCTGTGTATTTAGTGCCCTATATAAAACAGGTTAACTGTACATGTGTATATAGTGACCTGTATAAAACAGGTAAGGTGTACCTGTGTATAATGACCCATATAAAACAGGTAAGATGTACCCGTGTATAATGACCTATATAAAACAGGTTAACTGTACATGTGTATATAGTGACCTGTATAAAACAGGTAAGCTGTACCTGTGTATAATGACCCATATAAAACAGGTAAGTTGTACCTGTGTATAATGACCTATATCAAACAGGTAAGCTGTACCTGTGTATAATGACCTCTATAAAACAGGTAAGCTGTACCTGTGTATAATGTCATATATTAAACAGGTAAGCTATACCTGTGTATATAGTGCCCTATATAAAACAGGTAAGCTGTACCTGTGTATAATGACCTATATAAAACAGGTAAGCTGTACCTGTGTATAATGACCCATATAAAACAGGTAAGTTGTACCTGTGTATAATGACCTATATCAAACAGGTAAGCTGTACCTGTGTATAATGACCTCTATAAAACAGGTAAGCTGTACCTGTGTATAATGTCATATATTAAACAGGTAAGCTATACCTGTGTATATAGTGCCCCTATATAAAACAGGTAAGCTGTACCTGTGTATAATGACCCATATAAAACAGGTAAGCTGTACCTGTGTATAATGACCCATATAAAACAGGTAAGCTGTACCTGTGTATAATGACCTATATCAAACTGGTAAGCTGTACCTGTGTATAATGACCTCTATAAAACAAGTAAGCTGTACCTGTGTATAATGACCTCTATAAAACAGGTAAGCTGTACCTGTGTATAATGTCATATATTAAACAGGTAAGCTATACCTGTGAATATAGTGCCCTATATAAAACAGGTAAGCTGTACCTGTGTATAATGACCTATATAAAACAGGTAAGCTGTACCTGCNTAGTGCCCCTATATAAAACAGGTAAGCTGTACCTGTGTATAATGACCCATATAAAACAGGTAAGCTGTACCTGTGTATAATGACCCATATAAAACAGGTAAGTTGTACCTGTGTATAATGACCTATATCAAACTGGTAAGCTGTACCTGTGTATAATGACCTCTATAAAACAGGTAAGCTGTACCTGTGTATAATGTCATATATTAAACAGGTAAGCTATACCTGTGAATATAGTGCCCTATATAAAACAGGTAAGCTGTACCTGTGTATAATGACCTATATAAAACAGGTAACCTGTACCTGTGTTTAATGACCCATATAAAACAGGTAATCTGTACCTGTGTATAATTCCATTATGAACAGATTCAGTGAATAGTGATGAACTCATAAACAAACTAACATACAGTGTAACTAATTATCTATCAGAGGGCTAGTTTTATCATGTAGAGTAAATTTGACTGATGGGTGCAGTGATCAGGTGGCCTGAATAAAGAGGTCTTATGTTAGACTACAGAACAACTTTTTTTTGGTATTTTAATTACGATCTACGTATACTTTCACCATGAAGAGAAAACACTTATTAGCACCAAGCTTTATAAGTTCTATTATTTTCCTGTCACTTTTGTATCAAGTAAGTTCCAAGATACTCTCACATAGATGTCATGTATCTTGTTGTATGCCATCGTTTCTAATGCACATACAGGTATGTTAACATATATTGGTTCTTACATCTGGCACTTCATTCATTATACCGTCACACACCTGGTCTCAAAGCTCAAAATAAGTACAGTGAATAATATCTCATATCTGTATAAATCCAGGTGAAAGATAAAGTTCCTCAAAGTTCAGTATATCCAGATTAAAGGAAAAAATCCTCAAAGTTGTATAAAATTTTAATGTCATATCAAATGAACAACATTCCCCCAGGAAAGGCAAGCAGTAAACCATGAGATGATGGTTATGACGGCTGTGTATATAATAGCACCCTTGGCTGTTGCCTCTCCTTAACTTTTAAAAGATAAACCACATTAAAACAGTTTACACTCAATAACATATTAATGACATAACATCTTATTACAGGTAGGAGTTAGGGCAGGTAAAAAAACACAGGTAACAAGAAGAATGTGTGTAGGAGGACAATAACCCAGTACAGGTATAATGTATATACCTCTGTAGGGGTAACATTTACATGTAGGTTATATCATATATTGTGATATTGAACTCATGCTACTCATAATACATCTGACATGTCATTGTATGGATGTCTATATTTGTTAACCAGCACCTCATAAACTACCAGTTTTTACCCCAGAAATAAATATCAACTTTGTTATGAGTATGATAAAGTCAAACTTGAAACGACTGCAAGATGAACTTAAATGTTTGTTTGGGAATGTCAACAAAATCAAAGAGTAAAAGAAATATGTGTCAAGACAGTATTGATGATACCGGTATCTGTGTCAGTAAAAGTGACAATATAAACAGTGTACAGAATACACAGGTTTATATATCAGGTAGTCAATACAGTGTTCAGAATATACAGGTATCTGTGTCAGGTAGTCAATACAGTGTTTAGAATATACAGGTATCTGTATCAGGTAGTCAATACAGTGTTCAGAATATACTGGTATCTGTGTCAGGTAGTCAATACAGTGTTCAGAATACACAGGTATCTGTATCAGGTACTCAATACAGTATTCAGAATACACAGGTATCTGTGTCAGTAAAAGTGACAATAGAAACAATATACAGAATATACAGGTAGCTAAATCAGGAATAAAAATGACAGTCTATACACTATCCAGAATACACAGGTTTCTGTATCAAGTAGTCAATAAAGATTTCAGAATATACAGGTAGTTGGGACAGGAACTACACAGGCTGTACCACTTAGCTGTCATATATGTAATAACACTACACACACTGTACAGCACTCCGACAGAAACACAGGGCAACAACAGTCTAAGTATTAACCACATTTATACAACACAGATCTCCTCAAGTGTGGCCAACAACTTACCTCACTTTTATATTCAGATTTAAAAATGATTTCCCTGGAATGAAGGCTAACTTCCACCATTAACTTATCCCTCTCACTCAGCTACATGCATCCTCCATATTGAAAGAAGGTATACTGTTTCACATCCAAACAAGGCAGGCCTGACCTCCGCTGTGTGACCTCTGACCCCTCCTACAGTCTGACCCTATGATTCACAAGACTACAGAGAAGTATGTGGCTAGCCTATAAACATAACATGCTACTGAGTAAGGAGCTATTAACACAGGACCTTGTGTATCTAATAATCTAACAGTTACACCACAAACTGTGTATTTATGCTAATCTCAACTCCCACAGCCGAATAAACTTGTTTGTGTATTCAAAACTTTACACTCCTCTGTAATACCGGGGGCCCATCTGGAGGGAAATCCTATAGCTTGCTGTACCACTCAAACACACACAAATCGTCAGTGTTATTTCCCTTGGACACTTTGCTATTTCTGGCAGCCATAATTCAGTTTGTAATGAAATAGCAGCTCACTGCCATCCCCAGTATGTTGGCCCAGTATAATTATAACATATAAAGGGAGAAAGTGTATACTTTTTAGGGCTGACCCGGCTGTTTATGGCAGGTCACACCTCATTGGTCCAGCTACAATATACCCCCAGGGATGACCAGTGACAGGTTACATATATACAGCCCACTAACTCATTGTGTATATTACCTACATGGCCTTCTGGCTCAACTGCTGAACTTAATTTGTGTAAGAATTTAATGTTAAAACTTTGCAAAGTATCATTTCTAAGATACCAGGATGAATATTAATGCAGAATTAGAGATTTAATCTGCACAGTTCATTTAAAGCTATAATGATGCATTGAAAATAATAATTCAGAAAAATTTGATGATGCTGTAACTTTTTTTATCCAGATAGACAAGATGATATTGTAATAAGTATGTAGATTAACATAATGGAAATACTGTAATTAATTAGTAATCAATTTAAATTTTGTGATGATACAGTAGTTAACATTTAATTGTATGTGCGGAGGCTGACTAAAGGATGAGGTTGTACAGTATCTTTAAATTTATTCACTTATCATTTCGTCACTTTGTCAACTAATTATTTCACCACTGACTGCCTATGCTAATTGAACCATATTCATAACTTTAAACAATTCTTGAATACTATCTCATATCCAGTTTTAAATTATAGACTCCCATACTCGTATTTATACTTTTGACGTACAGGTTTTCAAACGAGCTTTGCTTTTTGGACGGTTTTTCTACTTTTTTGTAGGAATTCCCAGGATTCGATTCATCCATGGTGAAAATACATCATTTTTTGAAAAAACTTGCTGTTCTTAATTTTTTAATATTTTAAAGTTTTTGTAATGTATAGCAAGTCTTCGTCTGTCTCGTATTGTCTTGAAAAAGGAGCAGACTGCTCCGATAATTTGACTTATTTTGTCCACACTGTCATATCATTTAGTGTTTTGTTATATATATCATGAGAAATATATTTTCATTGTAATTTGGGGCAGAGTTGAGTGATTATCAATGAATACGTATATACAAACTTCCATAAATCAAACTTCAATGATTCAAACTTCTCAATGTGTCGACAAAGTCCAGAAATTTCCACTTATATTACATGACTAATATTCTTCTCTTGAATCAAACTTTTCTAATTCAAATTTCTCGCAGTTAAGTTTCGAAGTGTAATCAAGACCGATTCGTTATGAAAACATTGACAATTACAACTAATAAAGCGAAGTGAAATTATCAACTGTTCTAGAACATTAAATTGTACTGTGGTTATTTTAAAGGGACAGGCTCGGAAATTCAATTGACAGAAAAATATTGAATTTGATAAGAAATCTAATATACATACTCAAAATCAAATGTATTAGTCTCCGTTTCGTCACATATTTTAAGAATCACATTCTGTCTTGTTTACAGAATCTCGACACTCAATATTCTTGAGTCGGGGTCCTGATGTTTCAATTTTTTTTCTGATAGTCCCGCAAAGTTCGAAACATCGAAGTTTGACTGTATAACGTACAAGTCAGGAACAGGTTGGGTTTTTAACTTCTGTGTTGAGACAAATATAGCCTCAGCATATCACGCTATAACCCATCTCCTGTAGCAAACATTAGATCATACATTGATATATAGAGATCAAACACTTTTCACACTGGATATTTAACAATTCACCAGAAGGTATTTTCAAATTTCTATCACAAGTTTTACTCCAATTCACTGTGTTTTTCAATGTCTAAACTTTGTATATTAAGGTAAAAAATACCAATGTATGAATAATAATCGCAAAAAAGACTTCAAATAATTTTTAGGTTGGATTGAATAAATTAAGCACACTTAACTCATTGTCCACTCCACCTGTACTACCTATGTGGATTGTTATTATGTAATGCACAAAGGCATTTTTGCCAATTGCTTAATAAAATATATGTTATGAAGTCATCGTGGTTAGAGCTGAAACGAAATTAATACCAAATTCCTGAATATTCGGACATAGAAATAGTATTTGAATATTTGGTAACCTCACTTGCACAATTTCACAACAAAAATACAAATGTACCAATTGGGTATGGGATTAATTGAATTTCAATTCCCCCAAAAAACATTGTAGAATGTATTAACTGTTTGACAGTTCTTTGTTATAAGTACACAAGGCACAGTATAAACCTGAATAGTTATCTGTTGGTCAAACATCACATGAAATTTTGGAAAAAATGTATACAAACTTAACTGCTTACTATAAATAGACTATATAGTGTTGATCCCTTTATATGGATATGCGTTAAATGCAAAATAAACTTGCTACATGGAATCGTATTTAAATATAGTGTCATGAACAGGATTTTTCATATCTGTACAACCTGCATCTTTAAAATCTGTGTTTTTAATCAGGATTAATATAGTCATGTCTTGCGAGTCTAACGTACGTAAAAAGTGAGACCCGAACTGGAAGACTCACCTCCTGCCAAACATTGAATCTGTACGTAATTTATAGTCTGAAGTAGCCACTATATGTAGTATATATCAGGATACATCTTTTGCTACAAACTTTTGTTAAAATGTAAACTTAATGAATTTTAAAACAGTTATGAAACAAGTTATTTCAACTTATATTAATCACTCTTGTTTATATAGCCCCAATAGCCCAGATGTTAGCACGCAGAGGGGGGTGTCTTAATTAATGTGGGAGGAAACTGAAGCACCTGGAGAAAACCAACGTGGTCGGGCAGGTGACTCCATACCTCTTAACATCTGATCTGGGTATCAAACCCCAGCCTCCCTGGTGAAAGGCAAGTGGGCTATCCACTGCACGACCCGACCACACTTCGCTAATATCTAGCAGGGAGATAGGTTAATTGGAATCATGAATCACTCACTTTACTTAAAACTCATAATATCCACACATAACTTTTCTGACTTAAATTGATCATAGATTCTGTAATCGATTAATCAGTTTATTGGCCTAACTAAACATAGACAACAAAGTCAATTAGTCGGAACACCACTACTGGGCACAAAACCTATATTTACAGACAGAAATAGATTCACAATACAGACTTCAATTGTTTTATCATTTCTTATTGATGCTGTTCACTCGTTTGATGTAACCTGGTGCTCAACTCTCTGCTCCATCACATGACAGTGTCAGTTTCAGCTTTAAAATGTTTGATGAAGTTTAACCCATTCACCCATGAAACCACATTTGAGCTCTTCCAATTCAAAGGTTGGAATAGTTCATTATGAAATTTCAGGGGTGGATGAGTTAACCCATAAGCCAATGGAAGTAACATATAAGCACAAATCATGCTTTCTTTCATCCTGAATGTAATATTTGTAATGTGTTAGACACTGTGTCACTCAGTGTGTAATATATACCATGTCTGACAAAATGTTACTAATGATACAAATGAGAATGCTATGGAAGTTAAAAGAATCCTGAATGTTAAAAATAAGGACACATATTTAAGAAATGGAGACAATTCTGACATGCTAAGGTCTGGAGTCTGAGATACAATGTTTATCATTCATCTTATGAATTTCCAATTAATGAATAAACTTGTGCTTTGGTTATTGATTTTCGATACTCTCACCAGGTCCAGTACACTCTAGATCTGTGATTGAGTTATATAGATGTAAAAACCTATATACTATAGTTTATAGCTGCATTGAGCTTTATTTTTTAAGATTTCAGTTTTAATAAAAAATGTCTTTTGGAATCAAATAATGATAAAATCTTCTTTTAAATGTGACTGTGTCATTTTTCTTGAGAAAGAAATTTATGTGAACAATTCAAAGTTCAAAGGATCTATTTCGGATGGTACACTACAGGTATTATAGATCTTAACAACTCTATAGCTCGATCCGCTGAGTGTACTTGACCAGTTCACAAAATTAATGTTGATATTAGCATGACTGAGTAATTGAGTATGGTACGTGTAATAGATCTAGATCTAATATATAACTATTTGTGTGTGTCCAGCCCCTGCTATATGTGGTAATGATAATAACATGAATCCTGCAAGGGGCCATGGAGCCATTGACTCCTCAAAACTGAAATTGACACCTCCATGTTCCAATTTTCTGTTATTATTTTACATAGAATGGACCCTCTTCATTTTTTATTGACTAAAATTTGCTGAAATGGCCCCCGGCCCACTGCTCTCAAATTCCATGATTTAAGCATACAGCCGATAAGAAAGTAAGTTACTCACCATATCATTATCAATTACAAAACAAAAAAATCACATTACAGTACTGTAGCCTGCTAATTTCGACACAGGCTGGCACGGACGTACCAGTACCCAACAGTTTCTTTTAATTCAGAAGACCTGCATGACTTTTCAGGAAATGTAGGGCCTGTTGAACATTAAAGTAAAATACTTACGATTTCGAGCTCTCCTCAAACTCTTCTTAGATACCTTTGACTTGTTTCCTACTTATCACTCAGTCGCAAACTTTCCAAACAGGAAACTGGTTATGCGTACTAAATCCGGAACGGAAGCCGGTACGAGCCAATGGTATGCAAAAGGCCCACTAGACCTGTGAATGAGCTATTAAACAATGTGAGTAGAAAAGATTCCCTTGATGGATAAAAGGGAGTGACATTATCACAAATAATGCTTTCTTTCGTGAGTGCAAATGTTGTAGCTAGGATATAAATCTTGTGTAGGCGCAAGATCTAGAGCAATATGCTGAAAAATGTGTATTTTTTTTAGTTCAACGACAGCAGTTTTTAATAAAATAAATTGATAAGTGTACCAGTACGTTTTGTGACTAAATATACAGAT